CACAGACGACATGAATGGCTACCAACAGGAAGGAATCGGAAAGTTTGACATGACAATTTACAAAGGTAGCCTATTTGTAAACAAATTCTTCATGATGCAAATTTCAAAAGAGTGTAGTTTTCAGAAACGTATTGGACGTGTGTGCAAATGGTTTTTACGTAGTGAGTTGTAGTAGCCGTATTTACACAGCTACAATTCAAGGGAATGAGGGGACATCTACACAAATACATCTTCTGATTGGCGGTGTCTGTTCATCACTCAGGTCAGAGATGGAATACATCCAATGCATACATCAGACCAGTTCAAAGGAAACGAAAAGATCGTTTGCAAACAGAAACAGGAGCGTTTGTGACAAGAATTCTCTTCGAAGGCAACAGAGCTGTTGGAGTCGAGTACGAAAAAAATAAGCAGGTGAWAAATAAAGCTTATGAAATAGTCTGGTTTTCTGTTTCTTCAATTCTATATATTATGATTTGTCGAGTTTATGGTTCRGCATTTCCAGATAAAAAGAGTGAAAGCAAACAAAGAAGTAATTCTGTCGGGAGGAGCAATCAACTCGCCACAGGTTTTGATGCTCTCTGGGATTGGTGATGGCGATGAARTAAAAAAGCTTGGGATTCCTGTGGTTTGTCACTTACCAGGGGTGGGACAAAACCTACAGGATCATCTTAATTTCAACTTTCAACAGGTTTGATTTATTTTCCAATTCCATACAAAAGTGTTGTCATTCACTAATATTTTTCGACTCAGGCTTGTACAAAACCAGTGTCAATATACTTAAAAAATATKTTGATGGGAATGCTCTCCACTGGAATAAAATGGCTCTTTGCAAGAAAAGGAATTGGAATTAGTTCTCACATTGAAGTTGGAGGCTTTATTAGGAGTAAGGAAGGTGTCCCTCATCCAGATATCATGTTGACTTTTATACCAGCTCTTTCTTATGATCATGGCAGAGTTCSATCAACCCAGCACGGTTTTGAGGTAACTAACGATAGCTTCTGAATTAGGATGTACTGTCCTTGGAGCTGCAACTCCTATCCAGTAGTGTCACTATTGTAGTTCAATTTCACTACCGGGTTAAGTTAAGTTGATGACCTTTCCACACTATCCGCTAAGTGTTATAGTACTATATTTACAGCTTCATGTTGGATCATTACGATCTCAAAGCAAAGGTTCACTGACATTAAAATCAACCAACCCACGTGACCATCCAAACATTGACTTCAACTATATGGCAACCGAAGAAGACTGGGAAGAGATGCGCGCATGTCTCCGACTAAGCAGGGAGWTATTTGCTCAAAAGGCGTTCGATGAATTCAGAGGAGAAGAACTCAGCCCTGGTAAACAAACCTATGTGATATATTTTAAATTATGTAAAACGGTTGATCAGTAAAGATTATAGTGAAACCAAAAACGCATAGACGCGAAATAAATAAATAGAAATAAAAATGCAATGCAAAATGGGACAATGACAAACAAATGCAACACTTTGTCCAACATTACCGGGGACTTAAAATGTTAAGGTTCAAAGCTTTAACTTTTTCAACAAGATTTGATTCTTGCTTAGGAATAATTAAGCACTGGTATATGTTTTTTTAAATTTGTTACTGCATGCAACAATAGGAAGATTCTCATCTGTTTTATAGGTAAAGAAATACAGACTGATAAACAAATCGACGAATTCATCCGAGATAAAGCAGAAACGATCTATCATCCCACAAGCACTTGCATGATGGGCGACTCTTCTAACAAAATGGCTGTGGTCGACAATGAAACGCGCGTATTTGGTGTTGAAGGACTTCGTGTGGTAGACGCGTCTATCATGCCTAGTATGGTAAGCGGTAATACCAATGCGCCCACGATCATGATCGCAGAGAAAGCGGCTGACCATATCCTAGGCAAGAAAATGTTACCCAAGTTAAATGTTGATGTTTACAAGACGCCTGAGAAAGGGCAACGATAGGTAATCACCAGTACTCTCCTACACAGCCGCTAGTAGAAAGCATGATAACCGGCTGCGAGGAAGACTAGCTCAATTCATCATCAATCGGAAAATTTACACATATATAACAAATAATTAAAAAAAAGACAACAACGACAATAAAAACAAAACAAAAAAACACGAAGCATTGGTATGGTTATTGATAGGCTAAAATACCTCGGTTTTCATTGTCCTCCGAGGGGTTTACAAACCCGAATTTCCCTCAGGAATAACATGAGGGAAATTTAGAAGACAAAGAATTCTTTTGTCTTTTACTAAATTTCCCTCTATTTAATTTATGCAAGGGAAATTTAAAATACTAAACTTTCCTTGTATAAATTAAATTGTTACAAGACAAAAGAATCCTTTGTCTTCAAAATTTCCCTCATGTCATTCATGAGGGAAATTCGGGTTTCTTTGCCTTCTTAAGTTCCCTAATGCAGTGCGCAATGCAAATATAGTAGACTAGATACCCCTATAAAAAAATGCAACTGCACACAAGTGTCCTACACCGTCTGGCACTAYCATGTCTTGCATGTGGCGCATTTTTTTACCAAAATGCGCATGCCTGTGCACTGTATGCAAAGCTGATATAATCACTCTTAATTTATTGAACTTCGTTGTCTGTTCTAAACGAAAATCCCTCAGCCATTTTGTTTGAGCGTTGTATACGATTTTTAATTCTGCGARATAAATATTATCTTTGGTATCCTAACGGTCTGCAAATTAAGTTGTTTTCAAGTATCCAAATCAAGTATATGAAATAGRAGTAACGAACCATTGTTAGATGTTTAATTACACAATAGAAGACAGAGTAACGTATTTGAAAACTATTGTTTGATTACATCATTATCAAGCCTAGGTGTACAACACGCTAATGAYCTAGCTATGCATTTTGGCGTTGTTTACGCTTCCTTMATTAGAAAACTGGACATGATATCAAAGGTTTTTCCTTACTTCCTCGCCGATCATAGCGGTGAGACGACTTAAAAAGAAAGATCCTGACTAACTATAAATAAAACCGAGCAGGAAATTTAAGCAAAGTTAGATAGATGTATTTAATGYCTGCACGAAATCTCGTCTTCGGAGGAAGACTACGATGTCTCCAGAAAAAAGGTATTTTAAAAAATTGACTATGAAAATCATGTAGTGGCAGTAAAGTTTTGGTATGTCTTGAAAAGAAACTTCTTATGTGTTCATTGATGATTTATTTATCCTGGGAAGCAGGCACTGAATTTACACTCTATCAAAGTTCATTTTGTGGGCGTAATGCCTATTGACCTAAAAATGGACAGCGCTTCGCTTGTTAAGAAGGGTAACTTCCGACCTCTGGTACCTAGGATATCAATCATACAGAATATTAAACATTTTCTTCACCTGAATATTAACAAGCCTTAATAGGTKATGCAAATTGATCAGTGCAAATTGACTGTGAATTATCCAATCGTAGTCTAATTTGTATTTTTTTTATCCGAACTACAGGTTTCAGTTCCCAGTCCTTATCAACCTTCTCATCTACTCATGATTACGTCATCTGTGGTGCTGGTTCAGCGGGATGTGTTTTAGCCAATCGTCTGTCAACTGATCCTAGTAATAGCGTTCTATTACTGGAGGCAGGACCAAATGARGCATGGGCTATGCCAATCCAGATGCCAGCCGGTCTACCTTTTATARTACCTTTTACCAGATACAACTGGTATTACAACACGGTACCTCAGAAAAATCTCAACAACAGGACTTTGTATTGCCCTAGGGGGAAGGTGCTGGGAGGGTCATCGTCCATCAACGGCATGGTGCACATCAGAGGACATGCGTATGACTATGACAGATGGGAACGTGAAGGAGCCAAAGGCTGGTCTTATGCTGACTGTCTGCCGTATTTTAAGAAGTTAGAAACAACTGAGAGAGGTATGACTGATGTGTTTGGAGAGGAATAGAGTTTGGGACATAATGTTAGGAAATAAGGTTGAAGTTGAAGTTTCTTTGAATTTCTTTTACAGGATCGAATGAGTATCGTGGTWAGGAAGGTCCTATACGTGTCACCAGAGGAAAACTAGAGAATCCACTTCACCATGCGTTTCTCGAGGCAGGACAACAAGCTGGATATCCAATCACAGACGACATGAATGGCTACCAACAGGAAGGGTTTGGAATGCTTGACAGGACTATTTATCAAGGTATATGGGCCAGTCTTTAACTACATCTTCCTGTATTACTGGAAAATGTGTTTATTTACTGGAATAGTGAATTAAAATTACTTGATTCACAATCATTAAGGCCCGGTTATTGACAAACTTTACCTTTATGATCCATATAGGGAAACGATGCAACACATCCAATGCATACATTAGACCAGTTCAAGGACAGAGGAAAGAACGCCTGAAAATAGAAATGAAAGCTCTTATAACGAGGATCCTGTTTGAAGGAAACAGAGCTGTGGGAGTCGAATACGAAAAATATGGTCAGYTAAAAGCTATTTATTAGATTAGCAAAGTAAAAACGTACATTGCAGAGTCAGAAATGACATGTTTGCATGATATTTYAATAAAAATTGTTTCATTTTGTCTACTGATGTTTACAGATAAAGAGAGTGAAGGCAAGCAAAGAAGTGATTCTGTCAGGAGGGGCAATCAACTCCCCTCAGCTCCTAATGCTGTCTGGGATTGGTGATGGTGATGAACTAAAGAAGCATGGTATTCCTGTGGTTTGTCATCTACCAGGGGTTGGGCAGAACCTACAGGATCATATGCTTCTCAGCACGCAATATGTTAGTAAATCGGATCAGTAAAATACTCAGAGAGGTGGACCCATATGTGCCAGACTGGAAGTCAAAATCTGTTCCCTTTCCACTTTCTTCCCTTGTTAGAAAACCCAGTTCGTTCCTTCTTTTGACACTTCGTTCAATTATCTTTTCCTCAGGCTTGCACGAAACCAGTTTCGCTTTATAGTGATCACCAACTAATGTTTCTGCTATCAAACGTAATTCAATGGCTCGTTGCAAGAAGAGGAGTAGGAGCTTCCTCTCACCAAGAAGTCGGTGCCTTTATCAGAAGCCACGAAGATGTTCCACACCCTAATATTGAATTTCATTTCTTACCACTTCTTATGCATGACCACTGTAGACAGCAAGCCACACAGCATGGATATCAGGTGATTTATTATGTCTTTTCAAGTCGCCAAATCATGGTTTCCCTGTTCCGTCATGAGTTTAACTAAGGTTAACACTCAAATTGATACCATTTCACAGATGCATGGTGGTCCATTACGATCTCAGAGTAAAGGCTCAATCAAATTGAAATCAGCTAACCCTCGTGATTATCCAGACATTGACTTCAACCATATGGCTACCGAGGAAGACTGGAAAGAAATGAGGGCAACTGTGAGACTTAACCGGGAAATCTTTCAGCAAAAAGCCTTTGATGAATTCCGAGGAGAAGAACTCAGCCCTGGTAAGAAGAAATCATTTAAATGTGTTTTTTTTGACATTCTGTTTACTATAATTGCTTTATTTTGAGCTTGATGAGGTTTGTTTACAGGTAAAGACATCCAAAGTGACAAACAAATCGATGATTTTATCCGCAAAACTGCAGAAACTATTTACCATCACTCAAGCTCCTGCAAGATGGGTCACTCTTCTGACAAAAGGGCTGTGGTCGACAGTGAGACGCGTGTATTTGGTGTTGAAGGACTTCGTGTGGTAGACGCGTCTATCATGCCTAGTGTGGTCAGCGGTAATACCAATGCGCCCACGATCATGATTGCAGAGAAAGCGGCTGACCATATCCTTGGCAACCTGCTTTTACCCAAGTTAAATGTTGATATCTACAAAACTCCAGAAAACAGGCAAAGATAGCTAAGGAAGTCAAATCCTCTAGAGATGAGGATAACTTTGACATTGGTCGACATTGGACTTTAGTGACACACTAATTGCAGGCTCCAAGGGAGGCTAAATTCTGTACTTATTCGAATATAGGGAATATACAAGGGAATATACAACCTCGTTCCCAGGGCTTTATCCCTTCGCTTAAGCGAAGGGATAAGGCCTGGGAACGAGGTTGGGGAATATAGCGAATATTTGTATAATTTATTCTTTAATTGCTGGTCGTCAAAATTTGAAATATATCAGGCTATCTTGTTATGAACATGTTTCTTCTCCCTTTATTCTATGCATTGGCCCCGGCAAAATTTCTCAAAGTGTTCCCTGATCATGAAAATCAATAAAATAGTGAAATATATTCAGAAAAATGAAACAAATAAAAAAAGAATTAAAAATTATTGAACAAGAGAAAAAGTTGCTACTATGAATTGCGAAGGTCTTTGTGTGACCTTTGACAAGCTGGACTAGTCGAACTGCGGAAAATAGACCATAATATTCCCTGCTGTTTAAGACTCGTGGGACAATGAACAGCCTCTTTCTGGTTGTGACGTGCAATCTAGATTTTCTATGACATCGTGCAATGATGTATGTATTCCTTTACCTCTAGCTKTCTCTCTCTCTTTTCTTAGTCACCAGGCGCGGGGTTTCGTGACTTGTTGTTTCGTGATCATCTTGTGACGTCACCTTAATGAACAGCCTTTTTCTGGTTGTGACGTGCAATCTAGATTTTCTATGGCATCGTGTAATGATGCATGCATTTCTTTACCACTCTTTATTATTTAGTCAGTTTACCACCAGGAGCGGMGTTTCGTGACTTGCCGTTGCGTGATCCATCTTGTGACGTCACCTGAATAACCAACCATACACCACTGTCAACAACAAAATAAGACTTGCAAAGTGAAGCATTAATTMATCTTGTCTCGTCACTCAAGCAACTTATCAGGACATATTATAGAAGGAACTACATTACTTTCCTCGACCACCTTTCAGTTCCTCGTTACTAGAGATTGGGATTTTGTYTTTTCGGTTACAATKTTGAAGCTAAACTAGATGTCAWTGTTAGCAGKACAAAGCCGTGTCGTRCGAGGCAGTCTGCGATGTCTTCTTTCGACACGTTTGACGAACAAAGGTAGAGTTCTTTTWAAAAAYAGCCAATATGATGCATGTAGGTGCTTATTCCACTTTCTTGCGAATGCATARAACATTCATGCATATATACATAATGCTCTACATGTCTCATTTCTGTTTAGCAATGGATTACTGTATCGATAACTTCAGCGAGTATGTTTTTCAGTTCGCTGATTGCTGATTGGCATAACACGGAAATCAAATTTGCAAGATGATCTGGGAGTTAAAGTTGTCGTCATTCTTGAGATCAAGGATCAAACTTTGCAATCAGGATAATCTAAAAATGACTCATCTCTTAGGAACTCTATCCTCAGTTATATTTCAGTAATATATATATTCCATTCTCGTACATAAACATGTGACTTATGAGTGTATGGCACAGGAAACCCAAAACACAACAAAAGAAATCAATTTTCTCCGATAAGAAAAAACAATTCAGGTAACTAAAATGTAAAATGAAGATCAGATTCAACAAGTAATGAGACAGCATCATTCRCTCGCTTCAACTCAACCACTAATCATAGTATGTAACYARTTATCTTTCAATTTCTCTCACAAAGGTTCAGGCTTCAAGTCCCTATCGACTTTCTCTTCTACCCATGATTATATCATKTGTGGTGCTGGTTCAGCGGGATGTGTTTTAGCAAATCGTCTGTCAGCTGATCCCAACGATAGCGTTCTATTGCTGGAGGCAGGGCCAAATGATGCATGGGCAATACCAGTCCAGATGCCTGCTGGTTTTGTGTTAACATTAAACTCAACAACTTACAATTGGTATTACAACACAGTGCCGCAGAAAAATCTCAACAACAGGAATTTGTATTGCCCTAGGGGGAGGGTGCTAGGAGGGTCATCGTCCATCAATGGAATGGTGTACAACAGAGGGCATGCATATGACTATGACAGATGGGAGAGTGAAGGAGCCAAAGGCTGGTCGTATYCTGACTGTCTGCCATACTTTAAGAAGTCACAGAAGCATGAGCTAGGTGTGAACATTTGTCATTTCATTCATTTCGCTTCAGCACCTAACCCCTCCCCTCCCCCAAACACACACACACACACCTCCAAATATGGTCCTAGGTGGTCAGCCCTTTGAAGAAACCTTTCGCATGATAGTCCAATGCTACCAAGTAAGCTGTGGGARTATGACTTTTGCCTTTGATCTTTAAACAGGTCCTAATGAATATCGTGGGGGTGACGGGCCTTTACATGTCATTAGAGGAAAGTTGGAYAATCCTCTTTTCCACGCTTTTCTCGAGGCAGGACAACAAGCTGGATATCCAACCACAGACGACACGAATGGCTACCAYCAGGAAGGATTTGGAAAGTTTGACATGACAATTTACAAAGGTACTATGATTGTCTCACACTATGTAACTCTAATATTTGGAATGATTTGTATATTACACAAGCCACAGTCGAATAATGGTGTGATGTCGAAAAGTCATTTTTTTTAAATGATGACCTCCCCTTTTAAAATCCCTTTTCGGAAATTTGTTATGAAAATCATGTTACGTTAGCTGCAGTTGATGCACTTTMTCAAACACTTCATCATATTTTATCAATACAGACAACCGTTGGAACACACCCAATGCATTCATTAGACCAGTTCAAAAGCAGAGAAAAGAACGCCTGAAAACCGAAACCAAAGCGTTGGTAACAAGGGTCCTATTCGAGGGAAATAGAGCTGTGGGAGTTGAGTACGAGAAAGCTGGGCAGGTAAGTGCAAATTTAGTTCGTTTTGATAGTGAAAAGTATGTGAAAATAAGAAAAAAGGAAGTATGTAATGTATTAACATTAGTTTAATCTACTAACGATTTTTTTAGATAACGAGAGCAAAAGCAAACAAAGAAGTGATTCTGTCAGGAGGAGCAATCAACTCKCCTCAGCTCCTAATGTTGTCTGGGATTGGTGATGGTGATGAACTAAAAAAGCATGGTACCCCTGTGGTTTGTCATCTACCAGGGGTGGGGCAGAATCTACAGGATCATATGCAGCTTTATATACAATATGTACGTCAATGATAAGGCTATTTCAGGGTCTGTGTGTCAGGAACTTTGTCAGGGACTGTGCCAGGCACTGTACCATGAAGGGTCAATGAATGCGAATCAGTTGATCTTGCAATGATAAATGTCTGTGAATAGTTGTCCACAGGTGTGAAAGAAAATATCCATCATTGCATGCTCGCTGGTCGTTTTGCTTTGATGCAGAAGAACAGATGCCCATCAAGATGGCGAACTTCCCCCAACATCTTGTTCAATTAATAAATTCAGTATGAAATTTCCTTAGGCTTGCAKCAAACCAGTATCAATTTACAGTGATTACCAACTGATGTTTATGCTGTCGACTGGAATTAAATGGCTTTTAACTGGAAAAGGACCAGGAAGGACCTCCCAATTAGAAGCTGGTGCCTTTATCAGAAGCCATGAAGATGTTACTCATCCTAACATTGAGCTCCATTTCGTACCAATTCTTAACCATGACCATGGTCGACGACCACCGTCACAACACGGATATGGGGTGAGTATGAAGCCTTCCTTRCAAGAATAACTTTGCGAATCTTTTTTGCAGCAATTCAAACAATTGCGATCCTCAGAGGGACTATTGCACGTATACTATTGCTAGTTCTGGCCCATAACTTAGTACAGGCCTTCTTTTCCTTTTTGCTTTCTGCATTTGCTTTCTTGAATTATCCCCTGGCCTAATGTATACTCCCTTCCATTTATAACCCCCCGGGTTATAACCATCATAACCTAATCGAATATACAGGGTTTTTTCCAAGGCTTTTGTAATGAGTCTTCATTGGTGAAAACTTAAGCACATTTTACTCGTTAGCTGTCATTGCAATCATCAACWTAACTTGACATGTCTTCACAGTTGCATGTCGGTCCATTACGATCTCAAAGCAAAGGTTCCATRAAGTTGAAATCAGCCAACCCACARGACCATCCCGATATTGATTTCAACTATATGTCAACCCAAAGAGACTGGGAAGAGATGAGAGCAACTGTGKGACTTAGCAGAGAAGTCTTTCAGCAAAYAGCGTTTGATGAATTCAGAGGAGAAGAACTCAGTCCTGGTAAAATTGTGAATTTTCTATGTGATAAATCCCATTGCAATATTTCGTTATTTCCTATTTTCCTTTTTTTGCCTAAGACAGAGTTGGCTTTATTTATTTTACAGGCAAAGAATTTCAAAGTGACAAACAAATCGACGATTTCGTACGCGAAAATGCACAAACTGTCTACCATCCCACAAGCTCCTGCAAGATGGGTGACRCTTCTGACAAAATGGCTGTGGTCGACAATGAAGCGCGCGTATTTGGTGTTGAAGGACTTCGTGTGGTAGACGCGTCTATTATGCCAAGTGTGGTCAGCGGTAATACCAATGCGCCCACGATCATGATCGCWGAGAAAGTGGCCGACCATATCCTTGGCAACCCGTTGTTACCAAAGCTAAATGTACCCGTTTATGAAACGCCAAAGAATAGACAAAGATAGCCTTTCAACATGATGAACACTCACAAGCCTTAAAGAAAGCGGCGGACAACTTGGTGAACCGTTGTTGGCAAAGCAATTCGTTGACGTGTACAAAATTAATCGCCAGAAAAGGGACTTTTGATTTCTGACTAGAGACATTTATGTACTCCTCAAGTAGTCTAGAATTTTCAATGTGAAACTCTGGTTACGATACCYGAGACTCGTAATATAAACCATTTATACCTCTTTACCACAAATGCATCATTTACTGGGCAAAATGCAGAAGTGGTGTCACATTGTGTAACAATCACCCCCGTAAAACCATATGAAGCAAAAAAAAAAAACACATTAGAACAACAAAATGTTAACAAAAGATTTAGTTGGCTGTTTAGTGTTTGACAATATTGTAGTTTTGCAGTACCAATCTGTAGCATTTTGTATATGGATTGTCCATGTAATGTTAAAATAAAGATGATACATCTACCTTTATTGTAGCTTTATTGAATATGTGTGCTCACAATAAAAAAACGTATAAACGAAAATACCGCAAAAAATTAAAAGAAGTKAAAGTGATATGAAAAAGCAATAAGAAYATTCCRCACACTTTGCCCGTCCCTCCCACGAAATCTAACCTCACCCTCCCTCCCCCCATATAAAAAACGTCTTTTCTTTCATAACGTTAATTCGGTATTAAAGATCATGTCATTCCTAGTTGTCCGAAGTCGCGTCTTCAGTGCAAGGCTAAGAYYCCTCTATTCAAGACGTCTCAGAAGCTTCGTTGACAAAGGTAAATTTAACCGGAATCGTTTTACAATAGTGCTCTTTATATGTCGTGATCAAGTTAACTGATTGATCTTGTATTGCTGTTTGATTTCTGATTTTTCTTACATAGCCTTCTAAAGGATATCATCCGTCGTCCAATTTTCTAGAGAATTTCGTTACTTAAGTACAATTGGGAGTTATATAAGTAAATTCAATTACTTGGCATTCTCAGCAATCTAGTCTAGAGATCGAGTGTTAATGTAAAGGTCAAACCATCTCCTCAGCTTGAGCAATGTTTGTCCCATTTCAGGCTCGATCTCAAGGAGCCGGAATGGGAAATACATTGTCCAAGCCGCGAAGATCTAAGGACCTTATAAGCGAACTATTCAAAACGGCTTGTACTTGTCTCCGTTCACAATCTRTTTAACCACTTTTAGGGTTCAATTTCCAGTCTATAACAACATTCTCTTCTAATGCTGATTACGTCATCTGTGGTGCTGGTTCAGCGGGATGTGTTTTAGCCAATCGTCTGTCAGCTGATCCRAGCAATAGRGTTCTACTACTAGAGGCAGGACCAAGRGATGCATTGGCCGTTACAATCCAAATGCCCGCAGCTGTACGGCTGGCGGTAGGGGCAACCACATACAACTGGTATTACAACTCTGTACCCCAGAAAAATCTTAATAACAGGATTATATTTTGCCCTAGGGG